GTACCCCTCACTCACCCTCAAATGACATATAGCGCCTGTCACTCACTGAAAGGAGTGGGGAGGGACAGAGTAATGACTTCTGACCCCACAGGCTGTGCCATTTGCCTAGGTCCTAAGGCCAGGCAGGTGGGCAGCTGGTTTAAGAGGCCCAGCAGGGGGGCATCTGGGCAGGAAGCCTCACTAGGCAGGAAGAAAACTGTCCTCAGGGCCCTGGGGCTCAGGGCAGAGCATCTCCGCCCACAACTGCCCTGGGACCCAGAGTCAGGTCAGGCCCTGCAAAGCCATGATTGCTGAAATAGCCGCCAGCAGGCTACACAGCCTAGAAAGTCCTTTTAATCCTGACAACCAGCCAGGGTTCACTCCCTGGCTGGTAAAACAGGATCATTCCCATTTTACAGACGGGAACACAGAGGCTCCCAGAGACGGAAAGAGCTGCCAAGGTCATCCTGTAAATAGCAAAATAAAGATTTGTGCTGAGGTCTGTCTAAATCGGAGGCCTGGCCCTTCTCCTAAGTCATCAATACTGCTTCTCTGTGGCTGGCAGGGTGTCTGGAACTGGGAGCCACAGCGTCTCCACTTTGTTCCTGTTTCTCCAGTGGCACCCCTAAGCCCTAGCTTCCCTCCCTGCCTGCTTCCGGGCATGTCACATGCCCACTGGGACCCTTAGTCACTGCCAGTGGGTGGCCCCGTCACGAGCCAGAGTTGGGACGTGAGGGGGTGAGCGCTTTGGGGAGAGCACTCCTGGCCTCAGCAGATCCAATACAGCAAAGAGACAAGCCAGTAGACACAGCCCAGAGAGAGGGAGACACACAGGAACCCTGCCCTGTCACCACTGGCTTTTCAAACTCTTCTGTCTCATCCATAAAATAGGGTCACTCTAAAGGTAAGATGAGTACTTTTGGACACTTACTCAATATTTTTTGCACACCTTCTATATGACAGGCACTGTTCTAGGCCAGTGCTTCTCAATCAGGGGTAATTTCCCCCCAGGGGACATTTAGCAACAGCTGGAGACATTTTTAATTGTCACAACATGCTACTGGCATCTAGTGGGTAGAGGCCAGGAATGCTGCTTAAATATCCTATGATGTGCAGGGCAGACCCCATAACAGCTACATAGCCCACATATTCAAGAGCGCTGAGAATGACAAACCCCATGCTAGGCCATGAGTCTATAGCAGTGAACAAGTCCCTGCCCTCAGCGTGCGTGCATGCTACTGAGAAGACACAATAAAAGTGAAAGATACGTAATAGGTCATGAGTGTTACATAGGAAAACAGCAGGTCAGGGAGCGAGAGTGCCTGGTGGGAGCTTTTCTAGGCACGATGGTCAAAGAAGGCCTCTCTGAGAAGAGTTCATGTGAGCAGAAAGAAGTAAGGGAATGAGACAAGGGGCTATCAGCAGGGAGAACATGCAAGGCACAGAGGGGAAGCAAGTGCAAAGGCCCTGAGGCAGGTGTGGGGAGGGGGCATGTCTGAGGAACAGTAAAGCAGCCAGCATGGCATAAAGCTGAGAACTAAGTTGATGTGTAGAGCTGAATGTAACACACACACACACACACACACACACACACACACACACACACACACATACACAATGGCTGGCATCTAACGCTTCCCCCCAGTTCCCCTCCCCCCACTCCCAATCTTCCTGGCTGTTCCTCCAGGAAGCATTGAATGGTTAGGGCCATAAAACGTCTCCCAGCCCTGGGGGGGCACAGCACTCCAGGAGCCACTGGGCTAGGCCCCAGGATGGCAGTGAGGGCCATTCTCTGCTACAAGAATGCCAGGCAAGTTCTCAGCCTTATCCTCCCCAAAGCCTTTCATACCCACTCGGCTCTAAGAGGAAGGCAAGGTAGGAAGTGCGTCTCACATCCATAGGTGGGAAAACAGAGGCTCAGTAACTTAGCCTTGGTGACAAGGGCAGTTAGAGGCAGAGCCCAAGTCTGTGACCATTGACAGCGTGGCTCCTACAAGGCTGGAGCTAGGTCATGGTCATCTCGGGGTCCCTAGAGCCCAGTACTGGGCAGGGCTTAGAGGTGGTGTCCATAATGTTAGGGGAATGAGTGGATGATGGCACTACATCAAGGTACCTGGCCAGCTGGCCACCGCCCTCTGAAGGCGTGCCCAACCAGTGGACCACATCCTCAGCACACAGGTTCCCCTCTGGGCTATCAGGCAGGGGGCAAAGGGACATCCCTGGACAGCAGATACCCTGGGTCATCCATCTCCACTCCAATGGCCAGTGTCCCCAGGCCAGCCTGGGAGCCCCCAAGCTCTCCTCCAACTTGAGCTAGCCCCAGGCCCTTGGGTATTGAGGAGGCAAACAGCAGCCCCTCCGTCTCAAGATTTCCAGGAGTACATAGGTCAAACCCAGCAGGTAGGGACCCCTCAGTCCCCTCCCCAGCAACAACAAAAGCCAGACTGCTGGTTCCCCCCACCCCCATCCTATCACAGGGCACCAAGCACTCACCTATCCTGCCAGCTTTACTGGCATTTACTTATCGAATGAATGAATGAATGAATGAATGAATGAATGACTAGATGAATGAATGATGCATTCCACACTAGCCAACAAATACAGCTTTCAAAGGAGACAAGAGCCCTGATGACACAATGACTCTGCAGTACCTTCAGCCAGCTTAGGTCACATGAGCTGATCAATCTAGTTACAGCTAACATTACTGAGCACCCACTGTGTGCCAGGGACCCAGCTAGGGGCCAGAGCAGGGATACCAGCACAGGGAGGGTATAGTGCAAAGAGCTTTGGAGTCAGGCAGATCTGCATTCACATCCCACCCACCCCACCCACAGCCCAGCTCTGTAATCCTGGCAAATATCATAACCTCTCAACCTCAGTTTCCGCATCTCTAAATGGGAACAGCACCATCTGCCTTTTAGGAGTTGCTGTAAGGAAGATTCCAGTGAGGTTTTGTAGTCAAGTCCTAGCACAGTGCCTGGCACTTAGTAGGTGTTCCAAAACAACTGGAGCTATTGCGCTGGTAATAATGTGAAGGACGAGGACCCACAGTCCCTGCCCTCAAGGAACTTTCTACTATTGGGATGGACAAGGCACAACTAGACTAAAAAGCAGAATGTAGTCTGTCCTCCAGAGGGACAAGGGGTCTGGAGGTTCAAAGGGGACAAGATCAAATGAAGAAAGGCTTTCCTGCAGGGGGTGGCATTTGCAAAAGGCCCTGAAGGATGGGAGCAAAGGGTGTATCATGGAGAAGGGACAGCATGGGGTATGCATGTTTCACAGGGCATAGGGTACAGATGCAGAGAGGTGGTAGCAGGAACCGGATACCTCACTCGCTCTGGCCTGGGACACCTGGGGGAGTTTCTGCCTCGGTCACTGGGAGCCACAGGAGGCTTCTCAGGCAGGGAGAGAGATGTTCCAACTTGAGGAGGGTCTCCTCAGTGATGCCACCAAAGAGGATCGGTGGGAGAGGGCGCAGGGACCAGGAGACACCCCCCCCCCGGGAGGCTGTGGAGATCGTCCCAGATGGAGGGAACCCGAGTGACTGACACAGGAGCTGGTCAAAAGGGGAGGGAAGTGAGAGACGCAAGGGAAACCCCTCCAACAACTCCAGGACTCGGGTCTGGTGTCCCCTAGGCCGCAGAGAAGCCCTGTGCCTCCTCCCCCAGGGGCTCCCAAGCCACCAAAGCAGGGTGACACCCCTCGAGGCACTTCACTCAGGCTGGGGACTACAGCCGTCAGCATCCAAGCTCAGTTCTCAGAGCTGGGACTCGCCCGACTGGAAGACCACCCAGGACCACCTCTGTTTCCAGGACAACCTGTGGGGCAGCCCCCCAGGACCCACCCTGACACCCTCTGTGGATGACTCAACTCTGGTCCAACAACCTCCAACTTCGGCTCTCCAGAACTGGACGCTAAAGATGTCTGTAGCCTTGGCCAGTGAGTCACCTCACAGGACCACGTGAGCCCATGCCACCTCCCACCTTCCTTCCGGGTCAAGATGTCCAGACGTGAGTGTGAGCACACCATGTGTTCATCTGAGTAGGATCAGAAAGAAGGGATGAATGCACACCCCCATCCTCAGGCACCGGGGGAATGGAAGAGCACTCCCCCATGCCCTGCCATGAAATAGGAGTTCTCTGAGCCTCAGTTTTTCCTCTCTGTAAAATGGGTCCCTCTATCTTACCAGACCGTGGTGACAGCCAAAAGAGGCAGAGGACAAGCCATACCTCTAGCTTGCTCTTATGGTGGGTACAGTCGGCACTGAAGAACAGCTCTGGGGGTTCTGCTCTCTCCATTTTCCTGGAGCCCCTTAGAGATCATGTCTGCCTTGATCGTCACCCAGAAGTCCTCTCTCACCTATGTCCCCAGAGCTCCTGCACAGGCCCTCAGGGGAGGTCAGCCCAGAGGAACGTGAGGACGCTGTCTCCTCCCCGCTTCCCTGGTGCCCACAGAGAACAGGCTCTAAAATGGCTGCTGGACACATCAGGTGACTCCTGGGGAAGGGGTCTGGGCAAACGGCACTGGGAGACAGCCCAGTGCGCCCTTATTAAGCGCTTACTGGATGACTGGCTCTGTGCTTTCAGGCAAGACACCGTTGTATTTCTAAGAAAGAGGAAAACCATGGCCCAGAGGAGGAGGAAGTCATCTGAAGCGGGTGCCCGGTGTTGGCGGTGGGGGCAGCGCCCCAGTACAGACCACCCCCTTCGCCCCACAGGAAGGAAAGCTTGGTCGTGGCAGTCGCAGGGGTAACGGGTTGGGGTCCAGAGTCTAGCTGGGATCTAGTTGGGATCCCCAAACGCCCTGGCCTGCACTGACCGAGGGACAGAGTTTAGGGGCCCCTGGCGCATATGTGCCCAACCAGAGTCCCCAGCAGATTTCCAGCGCCGAGCGCTTCTGATCCGGTGGGGAGGGGGGGCGTGGCTCTTCGGCGCCCTAGCCAGGACCCCTCAGGGTTGGGGGATGCGCGCCAGCCCCGGTGGGCGTGAGGGCGCTCCCCGTGGACAGCGCGAGGCACCCACCTGGGCGGGCACAGCGTGGCCCGCGGCCCAAAGCTGCAGTCCAACTGCCAGCGTGGTCCAGACGGCGGCGGACGCCATGGGGACTAGTGGTGGCGGCCGAGCGCGGGCGGGGTTCCGCCGGCCGGACCCCTCACTCTTCGCGCCTTTACTCGGGCTCCGCTGCGCTCCAGCGCCTCCGACTGAAAGCGAAAGCCGGCGCTCTTAAGGCGGAGGGAGGTAGGGCGGGGCTAGAGGACACGCCTCCTCCTGCCTCCTCCCACTCCCCACGCCCCCCAAAAACGGACTGCCTGGCACCCAGACCCGGACTCACCCCGACAGGGCCCAGCTTGGCCCCACTCTGCAAACCCGGCTCTGAGTCGGTACCTTCCAGCGTCAGCCACTCCCAGCCCTCAGCCTCCCTCTAAGGACCACGCCCCTAATATCCCCCTCCCAATGTGGGAGCAGGAGACCTGCATTGGGGACAGGCTCCCACCAGGTTTGTGGCTGCCCTGACTGAGCCTGTGCCCCTCCATCTGCCCTGCGACCCCTCCCACCCTTGCAGGCGCCCCATTCCTGTTGGGGTGTGACACTAATTTGGAAAATCATGCCACAACACTGACAGTAGTTCTGGGAGACCACTGCGGTTCTAGATCATTCACTCATTTAGACTCTAGAGCCAGACCACCTGGGTCTGAATCTCTGCATCAACCTCATAGAGTTATTATGAAGATTAAAAAATACATAATATCCATAATATAGTATGTATTGTGTATGTATGCATACTTACAAAGTAATTATTGGGTTGTCGGGAAAGTCATGACGTATTTTTCTATGTTTTTCGTTGTCAAAATGAGTCATGACTTTTCCGACAACCCAACATATATACATATATATATGTATATATGTGTGTGTGTATATATATATATATATATATATACCTTAATAAGCTCTGTATACCAGTACGTTTTAGCTGTTATTACTATTATTCATTTGTTCATCTAGCCTTAAATATTCTTCAAGCCTTTCTCAGTGAGCCAGACCCTGTCCTGCCTTCCTTCTTGAGTCTCCTGTCCAGGTGGCTGACAAGTAAACAGAGACTGGGACAGATGTTGTCTAGGAAGTCGTGGGGGCCCAGAGCGGGGCTGGCCCAGGCCAAGGGCCATGAGGGCTGGCTTCCCTAGAGTTTACATCATGACTGAGCACCCACTCTAGCTGCCATCCGCAACCCCTGCACTCTGACGCCAGGGCCAGCCCTGTGTGACCAGAACATATTCTCTCAGCCCTGGGAGTCCTTTGTCCTCAACACACAGGGCATTTCTGAGGCGTGGGGCGGGCAGGGTGGTAGGAGGCGATTCTGTTCCCTTGTTCCCTCACTGCAAGGTTGCCCCCAAGAGATACAGAGGCCCCTCCTCTGGACCACCAATCCCTGTGATGGAGATAGCAAGGATGGTGCTTCTAGGCGCTAAGTGAGAAACTGGGAAGTGACTCCGAGGGGATGGAAAATCCCACCTCCTGATCAGGAGGCTGGGAAATCACCTGGTTCCCACACCGTTGATGAGAGATTGGCCTCACTGAGGGTACAGGCAGCACAGCTCACAAACTGTAACTCCTCAGAGAGCGTCAGCCTCTGAAACTCTCATGAAGATTCCTTCTGACCCATACAAGTCTCACCTGGGAGCAGCTTTGAGGACTCCCTGATCCATAAGAGAGAGCCAAAGGCCAGGAGTGGGGTGTCGCCTGGTAGAAGCAGGGGTAAATGATTCGCCATGGATGTCTCCTACACACCTCAAATCCGGTGGGTCCCACTGACTCATCCCCTCCAATAGAAACCCAGCTCACACCCCATGCATCCTGTCTCACTCCAGCTTTGCCACCTCAGGCCCAACTCGCCCAAGGTTTCCGTCACAAGCCTTTATCGAGCACCGGCTATGTGCCAGCCCTGCGGTCCTGGGCACTCCGCAGTGCACACAGCAGACAAGGACCTCCCCTCAGTCTTGTGGTAACTGAACTCCTGAAATATCGTGCTCCAGAGTGGTCCCTTATGCCTCCGCCTGCTTGGCCCCAGTTAAAGGGAAGCACCCCACACACTTCCCCCAAGAGGCCAAAGTCGGCACTCAGCACAAGGGCGACTCCTTCCCCCAATTTCTCTTGGCTTCTCCAACCCTGACATCTTGTTTAGACTGCAGATGAGCAATGGCAAATTCTGGGTGAACCATTTGACACTGAATTTCTTAGCACGGCCTGCACAGGTGGCCCAGGACTCTCTCCTCAAGGTGGGGTTTGATCTTGGCACCCACCATATTATACCTGCCATTGAGGAATCTGGTAAAACTCAGCAACAGTGTGGGGGTCGCCTTAACATGCTGCCCCAGCCTGGATCGCGGGCCCGTCTCCTCCTGCCCCACAGCCCAGCCCTGGCTTTGGCCTCGGCCATTTCTCCCTTGCGATGCTCCCGTGGCCTCCCAGCTGGTCCTCTGGCCTTCAAGCTCGTCGCTCTCATCTGTTCATCACGCTGTGGTCAGGGCCAGCTCTCAAAATCATAAAGCAGTCAGATCATGCTCCCCAGTCCAGTAGCTCTCAACCAAGGGGTGATTTTGCCCACTGCCCCCAGGGACATTTGGCAATGTCTGGGAACGTTTTGGGTTGTCACAATCCCAGGGAGCAGGGATAGGTACTCTGGGCATTTCATGCACAGAGAACAGGGATGCTGCTAAATATCCCACAATGCACAGGAAGGCCCTCCCCCCCAAAAAAAACCTATTCGGCCCCAAATTTGATAGAGGTTAAGAAAATATGCCTTCTTAGCCCACGGCTGCCCGCAGACGTCAGAACTGAGCTCAGCTTCTTCAGTGAGATGCTGGAGGCTTTTACTTATGGGCCAGCCTGCCGGCCAGGCAGACCCCCCCCCCAATTCCACGCTCTAACCATCCTTAATAACCCCAGGTTCCCACCTCCATGCCTTGTCCACACAGGTTCCTCTGCCTGAGATGTCTTTCCCTTCTGTTGCTTGATCACCTCTTGTCCTTCAGCTCGAAGCCCCGCTCTCTCTCCCCTATGAAACTTACCCTTAACCACACCACCAACCCAGGCAGGGGTTGGGACTTCTATAGACCGTTAGCGTAATCCTCCCCTCGGTGTGGTTAGTCGCTCACATGTCCCTCTCCTCTCTTAGTAATTGTGATACTAGCAGTTATTGGAAGCCTGCTCTGGGCCAGAGGACATGCAGACATCATGTTGGAATGGAGGGTTTATAGTAAGCTTCTGTGCCTAGTCAGGGGCACAGCAATTCAGACCAAGTTTGGCCGCCTCCATAGCCTCAGCCAAGCTGCCTCTCCCGCTGCTGGACCATGTAGTCCTCAGGGGCAGGGGGACTCGGTCATGGCTCCTCTATTTCCCTAGTGTCTAGGTGATGCACAGAGCGAGGCGCTCAATAAAGTTGAAGTGCATGAGTGCTTCGTGCAGGACTAATGTATGCAGGAGGCAATCAAGAGGTGAGTGAGTGAGTGAATGAGTGGATGTCAGGGTCAAGGCCCTGGAATCCAGCCCAGCCCAACCACTCCCAGACCCCACCCACTCAACCTGGTCGCCCAGACTATGCACGTCTTAGACCCCAGCCCCACAGTGCAGAGAAAGCCCACTTGCTTCTCGTTAATGGGTAACAAGCAGGCTTCCAGCAGATAGGACCATGGCCCTCTGGGCCCCTACTCAGGGGCTGCGTGCACAGTATCTGTAAGCATGGCCTGGGTTCCCTGGAACCTTCCCTCACTCCCCAGTGCAGCCCGTAGCCCTCAGAGGGGCCCCCACCGTCTCACATACCCAGCTAGCTGATGACTGTGCTTTGCAGGCAGGTGTAGATGAAGGCTCTGCGGCCGCAGGCATTGTGTGCAAGAACAGCCAGTCTGTCCACCAGTACTTCCTGAACACCTACTATGTGCCAGGCGTTCTAGTAGACCCTTTGGAGGGATGGTTCTCCAGCTTCAGCCAGCATCAGAATCATCCGGAAGGCTCGTTAAACATGCAGACATCTGCCCCATCCCCCATGTCTGTTGAGGGCCTGGTGACCTGGTTTTTAATGAGCTCCCAGGTAACTGACGGACACCTCCTGGGAAACACCGTATAGAAGGTTTAGCTGCAGCAGGTGCTGTAGCTGAGGGCGTTTTGGGAAGCATGGCTGTAAGGTTGTGCTGGAAGCGGCAATTTACACTGGGGAGGTCTCAGAACCAGGCACAAAACCAGCTCCTTCCGACCCGGTCTGGGGGCTGGGGCATCTTGACTTGACTTGCAGGACCCCTCCCTCCGCTACCCCACCCAGCTTGACCCACAGTCAGGGCAAGCCGCCTTTTCTCTCCTCCCACTGTCCTGCTTAGCTCAGTGCCTTGACCCAGCCCCTTGATGACTCATGTCCTAAAGTCATGAACAGGAAGTGACACTTGGTGTTAGCCCCGGCCCTGCAACAGTCTCC